ATTCTACCGATTGGGAGCATAAATAAAGTAAAGAGAATTGGTCCTTGCACTGATCCCTGTGGTACTCCACAGGTAACCTTTGAGCATGAAGAAGATTTGTCATTGATGTGAACAAACTGAAATCGATCAGATTGATAGAATTTAAACCAGTCTAGTGCTGTTCCTTTAATTCCAACAAAATATTCAAGTCTTTCTAAAATAATATTATGGTCAACTGTATCAAATGCAGCACTGAGATCTAACAGGACAAGCAGAGATACAAGTCCATTATCTGAGACCATGAGAATATCCTTAGCAACCTTCACCAGAGCTGTTTCAGTGCTATGATGAGCTCTAAAGCCAGACTGAAACTCTTCAAAAAGTTCATTATGGTGTAAGTGATCTAAAGAATTTTAGATAAGAAAGGAAGATTGGATATAGGTCTATAATTAACCAAGTCATCTGGATCAAGAGACAGTTTCTTAAGCAAAGGTTTTATTATAGTAAAAGCCTGTAACAGAGTAACATATTCCTGTAACAGAGATCTAAAATGGAGGAGGAGATCAAAGGAAATACTTCCTTAAATAACCTGTTGAAGTTGAAGGCTTAGAACAAGACAATAGTTTTGCTAACTCTGAAAGTTCAACTGGATCAAAGCAGTTTAAACCCTGGCCAGATTCTATGGTACCTCAGATGCTGCCTTACCTTCCAGAGATAAACCAATCGTAGATAGAGGAGTGCTAATGATCTTATTTTTTCTAAGATCAATCTTATTTAAAATGAATCCCATTAACATGTACAAACTAAAATCTATTGGACAAAAAAATAAAAAGCTTATTGCTTTTCCATTAAAATTGTTTAAGCCTTTCTAAAAGAATATTGTGACCAACTGTATCAGCACTGAGATCTAACAGGACAAGTACAGATAAAAGTCCATTATCTGATGCTGTCTCACTCTCTGGGGAGCCCTTAATCATATTTAAAGGGGGTCCAATTGTCTTATTTTTAATAGAATCTTATTTATGAAGAATACATTTTAGATATATTTGACCTAAAGACGTTAATTTATAATGTTTTGGAGAAAAACACACCTACTCAAATTAGAAAACTGAGGTCATTTCTGAATTTCTCCCTTTGTTTGGTTCTCTACAGTGAGCCTATGTGGTCGATTGAAGCCAGGAACGCAGCTATAGCTAATCACTGTTTTACCTGCCCCATCAACCGTGTTGGAAAAGTGAGTTCACCCCATCACACTAGAAAACAGAAGTTATGCTAATTCATCAGAATATATGAAATTATGTAGTGAAATGTTTCTTTCAACAGGAACATTTCCAAAGTGAATTCACATCTGGGGATGGAAAAAAAGGTACATTTGTATGTTCTCAAATTTACAGTTATCTTTCTGATTTTTATATTATTATTATATAAACATTCTCATTTTAAATTATGAAATATCACAGCAACCTCAACTGGATATGATGGTGTTTACTTTTGATGATGATTTCAGTGCTATATTGTAGCAGGGCACAGCCGATGTAATTATTCATCTGTACATTTTAACTTTTTATGTTATTAGAACCATAATCTCAAATCAGCCAATAGTAGTAAGACTAAAAATAAAATCCATGGTTTGATTTTTTTTCTTTTTTTCTTTTTCTTTTTTTTTTTTTTTATACAAATAAGTGGCATACTTCTGTAAATACATCTGTGTTAATACTTTGCTGGACCGTTTGTTATACCAAGTACGGATGAAATGGTTTTTAGTTTGGTATCTACTGACAGGCTCTGATAACTAAAGTTTCTGATAAGATAATCAGGCGCCCATTGCATTTTCCATTTCTAAAGTCTTCCAAGCACAATAGTTTGAATGGAGATCCTCATTATTTTATATTGTTTTATTTAGGTTTTTCCACAAATTCATAGTTGGATTTAGGTCTGGACCTTCTCAGGACTATCATGAGAAATGCTTCGATCTGCCACATTACATTGGAGCTCTGGTAGTAAGGCAGTAGGCTGCCAGAAGGTGATGCTACCACCACCAAAAATTACTGTAGGCATGTTTAGTTCGGTTTAGTTTTTAATCACAAATAACACAATATCACAGTGCTATACTTTGGTCTAATAAGATTAGAGCTCCATTATCCGCATGTTTGCCACATTACTAAATAGTTTTTGATCTCACAGCATTTTATTGCTGTGTATTTTTTCAGTGATTCACAACAAAAGAAACTGAATACAAATTTATAACATATGCAATGTAATATGCAAAACAAAATTGATGTGTTAACAGTTTTAACCAACAGCAGCTCTTGTGATTTTGCAGCTCACCATGACTTTGGTCACTTCTATGGGTCCAGTTATGTGGCTGGTCCTGATGGCAGTCGCACACCAGGGCTCTCCAGGACCCGTGATGGACTGTTGGTGGTGGAGCTGGATTTAAATCTCAACCGACAAATCAGTGACAAATGGGGTTTTAAGGTAAAGATTCAGACGTCCCCTCTCAGATGTTGAAGTCATGCTGAGTTTATAATTCTTGTTGATTTTTTTAAAAATAGGTTTATTTCTGAAATTAACAGATTGGCTTATCTCAATAAATTACAGTTGATTTTTTGTTTTGATAATGAATACAAAGTGAAAAAAGAGAAACATATAACATATTCACTGATATCTTTCAAACTTTTTTCCCGGTTCAGTAAAAATATAAATTATTACATTAAAACGGACCACAGGGGGTCCGCGGAGGTACTGCATGGGGGAGACGAAAGTTTTGGTTGATTAGACCTTTTATATAAATATATATATATATATATATATATATATATATATATATATATATATATATATATATATATATATATATTCCACTCTGCAATTTTTTTCCACTAATTGAAATGTCTTTAAATACAAATTAACATGAATTCAACAGACTGTAGTAAACAGATAAATGGAGGCAGAAGATGTCTTTCAGTCTTCAATGCACACATTCAGCATCACACAGGAGGTCTTTCAAGCTGGGCACCATTTCATTCACAACACCTGTCCCGTCAGCAAGGAATCAGAATCAGAAATACTTTAATAATCCCAGGGTGAATTTACTTTTGTTACATTACTCCATCTGTAACAGAGTGACTATAGGACCAGTTTGATATAACACAATTTCATACAATATATATAATTAGAGGGTCCCCGCTCCACCTCGCCATCAGTTTGGGGGTCCTTGGCCTGGAAAACATTGAAGACCCCTGCATTAGAGTAATGAAGGATTTATAATACAAAAAATGCTACCAGTGGAAAACATATGTTAATGTACTCTATCTCTACGTGTTTGGGGCATCTTTTACCTGTATTAGTGCATCAATGCCATGTGGCCTGGAGCTGAGCAGTGTTGCAGCTGATTACAGCATTGTTGGCTGTGGTGTTTGTCATCTTTCTTTTGACAATAGTTATGAAATTCATTTTTGGGTTTAAGACTGGCCAGTCCATCACAGTAATGCCCTGGACATTAAACCTGGCCATGGAAAATTAACTGTCTAGCACACCTCTTCTTCTACTAAATTTTCTATTAAAACGACTCATGCCTTAATCCTCGAGGTTTGAATTCTACCTGTTGTCCTTTGCTGCACGTCTCTCCCCCTCTCTCGTACCCACTTTCCTGTCAGCCCGCTGTACAATAAACTAGCCACTAGTGCCATGAAAAATACAAAAAAACTAAATGGTTGGTTATGATTTGTAACCTACCCTTTTTGTAGTGTGTCTGTCAAGAGTTTTTAACATGCTTAAGTAGACCATAACATTTTGTAAAAATAAATAAATAAATCTATTGATATCAACCTTTCCTAACAGTCAAAGGTGTTGTTCCTATTAAGTTACTTTCTTCAAAATAAAAATGAAAGATATCAATTGGTGCAATGGTAGGGATGATGGTCCATATATGAAGGCCATTTGTTTTGAAAGAAATCTTCAAGAAACAAAAAGGACCATAAACAACTGTATACTTAATTATAAAATAAACTTTAAAGGTAGTGTGGAGGATATTGGCCCTTTTTTAGAAAAGGGGCGCGGGAAAACGTTGGCGAGAGCATGTACGACCCCATTTCTCCGTTTAAAAATTGCTGTTTGCATTGCTCATACAAGCTTACTTTCCAAAAGATTTTTTATTTTTTCCCTATGTCAGACTCGCCACTGGTAAGTGAAAGCACGTTAAACGGCCTTACACAAACATATCACCAGAATGATTGACAATTAGGAGGAACACTTACTTTGATGATCCACCAGAAAAAAGAACATCCTCCACAGTACCTTTAAGACCCCCTGTACTTTTATCTTAAAAGGGATTTTATACTGATGCATTCTAATCATATATGTTTATTGTTCTTGCAGATGACTGGCCGGTATGCAGAGTATGCAGAAGAACTTCAAAAGGCTGTAAGACATGACTTCAAACCCCAAATAATAAAGGAGTAAAACACATTTTGCACAAAGAACCCCCTTTACACCGTGTTAAGTAAAAATCTGGATCAAGGCACTGTAATATTTTAATTTCCAAATATATGAAGATAACTTCACTGTAAGCTTTTACCAAATGAAGAAATTTTAATTACTTTTAGGTGTACCATAAAACCTGAAACTTTATTCTCAGAATTTTGTTAATCCAGATAAATCAAGATATATCCTATTGATGCATAAAAGAAGAATGAGAAAAAAAAAAAAAAAAAGAGAATGCTGAATATGTTCATTTTTTTTAATTACAGCTTATAATAAATGCAGTTCTATTATAAAAAAAATAAAGATTGGGGTTTAAAATGTGTCATTTGTTTTCATCAGAGCAAAACGAGACGGCAGTGACAAATTGCAGCGCTAGAAAAAGATTTTCTTTTAAATAACACAACCGAGGGTGGTATGAAAAATGTAGTGCAAGGATGTATACATTCCCACAACTTAAATAAAAATAAAACCAAAAGGGAAGGAGAAAATTAGCCTAGAGTTTAATGTAACCCATATGAGCAACAGCGTATCCATCCATTCTGCAGCATCAGACAGAAAGTTTTCTTTTAGTTGTTTCTCCTCGATTGAGTGGAACTGACAAACTTGTTTCTCCGTGTTCAGAGTCCGGCAGACAGAATATTGCATTGGTCCAGCGCTGGCGAGCTTCAGAGCTTTGATTACCTGAGATGATCACAACACTGCTGCTGTCTGGTTCCCTGCCCTTAGATCTTTTGAATGTAAAGGAAGTTTGGATCTTTCCACAGATTTGGGGGGGGCAAAGATGAGTAGCTGAACACAACAAAAAGATTAAATGCACAACACTGTAAGTCGTTATGGTAGACCCTGAATAATGTCCACGTCATCCCTGGTTATTCACATTCAAAGCCAAGTTTCCCCAAATTCATCCAAAGGTGAATAAGTTTAATATTCCTCTGAGTTTAGCTGCTCAATGGATCCATCATGAACAGCTACAGGCTAAGACAGTAAATAGAGACAATTCATATGAACTAATGCAGTGGAGTAGAAAAATAATCCGTCTTAGATGAGAATGTTTGAGTAGTTTTGTCTTCTTTTATGAAGTGAACATTTACATCCATCGGGGTAAAATGCTGAGCTTGTGGCGATAAAACCAAACACTGCTGTCATCTGATGGTGTATTGATAAAATCCAAGATCATCTTTGCTGTCCATCAGCTCTGTTTGAAGACAAGCAGGATATCCTCGTCTGTTCCATAGCTCCGTCTGGCCTCTTCGAAGTTACTGACGCTGGTGCAGCACACCCCTAGATAAAACAAGGAGATTTACTGGAGGTTCCTGCTAATTAAAAATAAACTGTAATTTAACAAGCTTAAAATGTAACATAAAACTTTGAAGATTTCTGTAATAAGTTAATAAGTTTACTGACAAATGGTACATATAATACATACTATTTACAAAATTATCTTCGTAAACAGTTTTGAAGAATGTATGGATCTGATGCTTGAATCTTGAAGCAGATACTGATTTTGGTGATCGGCTCCAGAAATCCGGATCTCTGATGTAAACAAACCTCGTCATCACCAGACAAGAAAGGTTATAATAATAATTTAAATTTATTGATCTCACATTGGAGAAATTTATATCTGCATTTAACCCCTCCCCTTGGGGAGCAGTGGGCTTGGGCTGCCATTGTGTGGCGCCCGGGGAGCAGAGTGGGGTTAAAGGTCCTGCTCAGGAACCCAGAGTGGAGGCTGTGGGGATCGGACCGGGTACTTGCAACCATCTCAGAGCACAAGTGCACAGCTCTAACTCTAATAACACCCCCCCTATGGCACTGTATGGCGGACATGTTGGAAGCCCTTCTTTACCATGACAGCCTCCGTATTGTTGGAGGGAGAGAAGAGGGAACAGCATTTTATGTCACGACAGTCTAACTATTAGATGTTGCTGAAAATTACACACAATAGCTTTAATTTTTGGGGTGCTGATTGTCACTGAAACAACTTTTGCTTTTAAAGACATTTAAAAATAAATAAATAAATAAAACAAAGTTTATATGCCTAATTGACATAATGAGATTTACCATTCTCAGATCTTTGACACTGCCTGGAAACATTTGTCTGCGAGTGTTTTTTTTAAATTTTTTATAAAGTGTTGATTTATACACGATAATTTCTTGGAAGCTTTTTTGTTGTATAAGATAAGAAGAATCAGAAAATATATGAGTCCACAATAACAGCATCCCGAAAAGATATCAAATTGGCTTCATGACAAACACCCCTTTTTAGCTGTTAGCCAGAGTAAGTAAATGATATGCTTATTCTTTGCAAGATTTAACAGATAAACACTGGGTACAACTGCAACATGTAGGTTACACTTTTATTGACTACGGTACTAGTTTTCAAGAAACCAACAAAAAAATTGACTTTTTTTGAGCACATTTTGGAAGACATTCGCCTTTAATGGCAGTAATATAAAATTGCATTCTACTAACTTCATATGCACCTGCAGGAACTACAGTGTTTCGTTTCCGTTGTTGGAGTTTATTTTGATGAAGCAACAACAAAACGTTCAGAGAACAAACAACAAAATAGGATCCAGGTTATTAGTCAGTAACCAAACAGAAAAAAACTTAGTTAAAGCAATAATAAAACAAACAACCTAAGGCTGGCCTTGAAACTGGAAAAAAGGGAGAAATGATAACTGTCTATAAATGCAAAATCAAAATGAAAATCTGCAAATTAAAAAAAATGTCCATAGTTTTTCTATTCATTAAAAAAAGATAATTTATTGAAATTAGCATTTTTATTATTACATATATCATTGGAAAACTTTTTTTAAGACCAGCTTTCTGGTTTACAAAGGAGCCTTTTGAAGGATGATCAAATCCAAAGAGTGAGCAGGAGTGTTTGCAAAAAGTGGACAAGATGCACTGGTTACATGAACCAAGACATTGCTTGTTGTAACTGTCATTAAAATCTGAAACCGTCAAACCGCGGTTAAGTGTCGACTTATGCCAATGGACAAACAAGACTACTCACGGTCGTCATATGCTGGATTGTTGTAGAAGATGCAGCCAGAGGTCCTGTTGAAGCCGCACACAACCACAAAGTGACCCTGGTACTCTGGCTTCCGGCAGAAACACTTCTGTCCCACAGGTAGGAAGCAGCAGTATTTGACAGGGGAAGAGCATGACTCGCACATCAGGACAACGGCGTTGACCAGCACTATGGCCACGTGACCCTGCTCTAGATGGGACTGGACTTCCTGGACTGTCACTGAACTATAAAAACAAAAGGAGCATCATTTGCTTTATTGATAGTAATAAAAAAAAAACAACAACAACAACAAAAAAGACAGGGATGGGAAATTAAAGAAGCTGACGACTGTTTACAAATGTCTAAAGAACACAGAGTTAGAAATGCCAACCAGGTAATGTGCCCCAAGTTCTACTCTATGATGATCAGGACAGTTTAAAGGGGCATAGTCACGTTATGTGGCATTTTTTAATTAATTACTCGAGCAGCCCACTCTGAGTGCATACAAAGTTTTCCTGAAAGATCGCAATGTCCAGCTGGCATATTATTTGTTATTGTTGTGTTTTACGTGTGTTTTTTTCCTACTTAATACGTTAGTAAATAAAGCCATTTATGTATATAACAGTGCTTAATTGAAGGTCTGATAATATTGCGCATGTGTGCATGGTGTAAGCAAGTAAACAATGGGCTAAGCCAGTTAGCACCTTCCAGTACAGTTACACAAATAATGAGGGGAAAAAAAAAGTCTAAAATTGTGTGTAAAAAATGCATAACATATTTGATCCCAGGAGAAATAATACTTAAATAATGCTTGGAATATGGAAGGAACACTGAAGTTCACTGAAACGGTAACTAAAGCTGCAGAGGACTTCAGGCATCACAGGGAAGCAGATGGATCCACGTGCCCTTATTAATAATGACACTAGTGAGAGCAATGCTATACTTTGTCTCCATAGTCTAAGTTCATAACAGTTTCTTTATTTAATATTAGTTGGTCTTTGACCACGTCAAGCTGTTGCTCCTCCAGAACATTTTAAGCCACTGTACGATTTTCTTCAATTGCTGCACGCAGCTACAGCTCACACTGTACGACTAAACTGCAAGGTTTAAAAGTTCACAGCTCACGATGTACGTTCTCACACTGTGCGACCCGACGCTCTGATGCGATCTACCTGCTGACACTGTACGACTGAAAAACACTTTGGACTCAGCTCCGCAGTGAGACGGCGCTACACGGACTCGTCTATAAGGAAGCCAAATGGGTAGAAGAGGAATTTGAAGCTCGCTAGAGTGAAACGCACTGCCTTGGCAATTTGTGCAATTTTGTGTTGAAAGGCCGAAAAAGAAAAGGCAACGACGTATTCGGATAAAGCAAACGTCCAAATACATCGTCGCCTTGAGCAAACATGGCTACTACGGTCTGTCAATTTTTCAGAAAGAACTCCATTTCACTGGCACCACAGCAATGCTTCTGTGTTTTCATCTGAGGAGGTAAGAAGAAGAAGAAGAAGAAGAAGAAGAAGAGGAAGAATCCTTGTTTGCGCATGCCCACTGAGCGGTTTACCCATGACGGTCAACTGAATGTCAAGCATGTTTGATTTTCTCCAGACCTTATGATTCCTGAACAGGAGGTGGTCGTGAGAGGCTGATCCCCCCCCCTACCCCCAAACAGGACAAACAACCATTCACACACACTCACACCTCAGGAGAATTTAGAGAAGCCAATTAACCTAACAGTCATGTTTTTGGACTGTGGGAGGAAGCTGAAGTACCCGGAGAGAACAGGCTGAAAGTCAGCCCGATCAAAAAATTCAACTGGAAATTCGGCCCAAAAAGGGCAACAACAAAAAAAAAATCATACAGTGTACGCCCACGTACGCAATACCACCATCTGGGTTTTTGGTAGTTCTGCCCACAGATGGCAGCTTGTTTGTTTATGTCAGCTCATAGTGCCTGGTGCTAGAATTCTATTTAGGCTTAAAAGACACCATCAAAACACTATCAGCATGGATACCTGGTATATAAAGCCTTATTCTATCGTGATAAAACATTTTTCTTGTTTTTTGTTTAGACATATAATGTGACTTTACCCCTTTACAATGTCAGCTCTCTAATGTGCTATGATTTAGAAAAATGAGTGAAATCAACTTCACCCAATGCATGATGAAGATTGGTGAAGCCAACCATGTTAGAGGATGGTTGTGCTCTAACATGGTGTGATTATTACACCACATATAGATAATTAAAGATCAATCATGACAATATTGTTTATTAAATACCTGCTTAGTTATGGACAATTTCTTGAATATATGGTCCTTTTTTTTAAGGTGGGTTAGACAAGCCATTGAATATTTTAAGAAAAAGCTGGGGCAAAACAAGGGTATTTTAATTGATTACAAATTAATTGAATTCTAATAAATACCTTGACATTTTGAGGCATTCCATATAATGAAAAGATAAAACCAGTGAGTTGTAGTCCATCTTAAAAATCCTTTGCTTTTACACATCCCTATGTATCACTGTTAAAAACACTTAAAAATTACAAAAAAGTCATTTTTTTATGTATTCCAAAAAAAGCAAAGGAACTGATTTAAGTGCTTTGTGTAGGCCCGAATAATTGAAAAGATTAAAATCTGAATCAGTGGGTCACATCCATACAAAATTACAACAACTGCAAGGAAATCTCTAATTTCATCTCTGGTTGGAATCACACAACTAAACAGGAAACTTACCATTTCTTTACTACCACACCTTTGCTTTCTGCTTTGAGGAAGAGTCTGTTTACTCTGTCTTCTTCTGTGTCAAAATGCTTCTTATAGAAGGACTGTAAATAATATCAAAAGTCATTCAACCATGCAGATTACAGGGATTTTAAGTAAGGATGTGGCAAGCTTGAGTCATTTAGCATACCTGATTTTTGAAGCCTTTATCTACGCCTAGAGTCTGGGTGCAAAAGCAGTGTTTGACTCCCAGATGGCACATGAGGTAGGCCAGGTCAATGGTCCACACACTCTCTGTCAGCTGCAGCTCACGGCAAGCTCTGACAAACTCCTCCTCACTCACAGGGTGCAGATACCTGTCAGACAAAACCCGGGTTTCACTGAGGATCCCTGATCTTGTTTCAAATAGATATTCTTAGTGGGTGTCAGTTTAAGGGGAAACGCCTTTCTAGTGTTTTTACATTTGATCTCTGTTTTCGGTGGAGCATAAGATGGAGAAATGATTTTACTTTTGTACTTACTTCAGAACCATCCTGGAGCAGGCTAAGCCACAGTCCCAGTGGTACCGCTGCCGAATAACGGGTACTTTCAGCAGGATGGCATCCTCTGAGACATTAAAACATTTTAATTCACTTTCACAGCCAGATCAGAAATTTAAATCTGAAGCTCATTTCATATCAGAACAGGTTGCCATCGGGTGTATTACTCTCACCTGTCATTCTGTTGTGCTGTTGTAAAGAGGCCAGCTAACACAGGGTGAGATGGGGAGCCTTGTTTACCACTCTGAGGGCGTAGTTAGCTACCCTCATCAGGGCTAACAAGTTAAAAGAACAGAGCTATCCAGCTGTTAGCTTAGCTCCCAGTTTAACACAGCTGACATGCCCGCTGCTTAGAAATCAAAAAGAGCTACAACGCAAACTTCTTGAAAACAAAAAAAGGCATCAACTACAGATGTAAACCAATGAGAAACTGCCGTTATTTCTGTCTTTTGTTTAGCCTCACTTCTCAGCTGTTTCCTCTTCTTCGTCTTTAGTTGATGTTGGCTCGCTACCGGTACATAGATGTATACCGCCCCCTACAGTACAAGAGTGTAAAATCTATCCCTCCACCAACCTAACATACTTTACTTTTTTAATCAAATTATTTTAAGCGATCCCTCCGTTTTCCAATATTCCTTTTAGATTCAATGTTTGTGTTTTCTTTGTTACTATTACCCATAATCTATTTATTTATTTATTCTAAAATATATATCTCTCCACTTGGTTGGTAGCTTTCTTCTCAGCTGGTTGCTGACTTATTCTGAAGCTCCTTCTTTTGACTTACTTTGTCTGTCAGCACAATGCTGCCCCTGTGCGGTGTGGCTTCGTATAACCCTGGTTTTCAAACTTTGAAGTCAGGTAAAAAAAATAAGGCTTGATTTCAGAGAACTGTGTAATCTAATTGCTCTCTTTTCCTGCACACATGCCAATCAAATCCAGCACATAGGAGCCATATGCTCCCATTTTTGAGAAAGGTTTCCCTTTAATATTTCACACCCACACCAGCTGTAAGAGTGATCAAAATATTGCTCTTTGTTATAAGATGATAATAATAATAATAACAATAATGATAATTATTATTTATCATATTAAAGAGTAAAATTAAATATATCTGAAGGAAAAAAAAATACACACAGTGACAGAGGGAGTAACAAAGCTAAAACCCACAGAAGCAACAGCATGCAGAGAAATGCAAGGCGGATATTCAATCCTACAATCTTTCTGAAGGTGAAAGTTGACATCTTGAATTAATATTAGCAGAACCTCCAGCACATAAACTGCAAAAATGAAGAGGAGGCTTAATTAAAGCTGTACCTCCTTGGCTGCACCTCTGCTAACTTCAATTCAATTCAATTAAAAAATATCTGATTAATCCCAAAGGGAAATTAAATGTTGCAGCAGCTCATAGGCTTTTTTTCAGTTGTTATAGGTGTTGATAGCTGTAGGAAGGAAGAATGTTCTGTAGGCGTCTGTCTTGCACCAGATCTGGAGAAGCCTCACATTGAGGAGACTCCATTGCTTAAACGTCTTCTGAAGAGGATGCTCATTGTTGTCAACAATCTTCTTCACTCCATGAACAGTTCCCCATTTTTAATTCCTCTCCAGAGGTTCTAGAGGAGTTCCTAGAACAGCTGACCTTTTTATTTGCTTGTTAAGCTTTTTAAAGTAATTTGCTCTTATGCTTTCACACCAGCAGATAGAAGAAGAGACCACACTCTCCACAACAGACTTATGGAAGATATGTAGCATGTCGCTACAAACATTGAAGGATTTTAGCTTCTGATGAAAACAGCTCTATCCCTTCTTGTAGACAGCTTTACAGTTGTGTCTCAAGTCTAGTTTGTTTTCAGGGGATCACTAAGGTATTTATTGCATGTAAACTAGCTGATTCTGCTGTCTCTGCTGCTTGCGGTCTGAATGTAGCATTATTGCCACAAAAGCATTTGGCTGTTGTTTTGCAGTGTCGGCAGAGGCAGAAGGTGGAATATAAACGGTTATTAACAGAACACTGCTGAACTCTCTTGGCAAATAATCAGTGGCGGCTCAAGAAAATTTTCATCTGGGTGGTCAGGCAGGGACCAAAGTGAACTGAGGGGTGGCTGAAACCTGAAAGGTCCCAAAAACATCTTATGGTACACATATAGTGGTCAAAGTAAAGTAACAGGAAAATTAACGTGAACATTTATTTTTTCCAAATAAATCACTGAAGACACAAAAGATTTTTTCATTAGGGCTCTTGCTGATAAACCTATGGGCATATTTAGACATTAGTGCAACTTAAATGGATTTTTGGTTCTATATAATATATACATTAAATAGATATAGCAATGTTCTTTATCTTTAGAGAATATTCCTAGCTGACAAATTGTCACCTATAAAATCTAAATACTATTTAATAAAAGATCAAACATTCTTTATCTAGTCCTCTTTGTTTATAGTAAATTGTTAATGATTTCTGCTACGTTTTTGTATTCAGTTTTTGGTTAATATACCAGCATTACAATTCAAAATGATGGTGTCACTGCTGCCACCATCAAAAATCAACAGCCACTAGTTTTTCCAGGTTTTGTATGTCATTAAACTGTCACAAGTACAGAGTTACCAAATTAACTCTCTGCATTTAACCCATTCCCTCGGGGGGTAGTAGGCTGCCATTGTGCATCGCCCGGGGAGCAGTGTGGGATTAAGGGTCTTTGCTAAGGGAGCCAAAGTGGCAGTCTGAGGGAGTGAGGCTTGATCGCAGAAACTCAGGATTCCAAGCTCTATGCCCTAACCACCAGGCCTAACCAGGCCTAACCACCAACACAGTCAATCATTGGTTGGTTGCAATGGTGATATGCAATGATGACATATCTTCACAGTAACATGTCCTGGATGGCCTCATCTGTTGTTCACAAGGACTGCCAACCAATCTCCTTTGTATTTTCCAGTTTTCTTTAAATCCCTGTTTGGTCGTATGGTCAGAAAGTCTGGAAGAGAGATGCTGAAGTCTGAGTTATGATCCTGCAGCCACATTTCAATAAAGCAGACATTGCTGCATTGCTGATATTCTGGCTGGGTCCTTTCTAGGGCTCAGAGTTCTTCTAACTTGTTTCCATGATGAGTGATGGAAGAGATGGATTAAATCTTTTGCTCGTCTGTCGTCTCGTTTCTCCAGCTCTGCATCCCCAGCGCTTCCTTTTCAACTGAGCTGGTACTTGTGGAAGTAGTTGATGCATTATTTTAACTTTATAGATGTTAATTAGCTGCTACCGGGTGTAAAAAAATAAATCAGGTTGCTATGGTTGCTGTGGTTACGCATCATAACATTTATCCAAAAAGGACAAAAATAAAAGTTTTGATCCACAAGCAGAGAAACTAAAGAAAAAAAAAATCTAGCAAAGCTAGTACAACCTGCAGTCACCTTGTATTCTACAATGATGATTATATTATATTTTATTATATTTACTTAGCTGCACCTTTGCTAACTTATATTAGCAGAAAACCCAACAGCTGTAATACTTATGTTCTGTACTTATGTTTTTCTGTGTCTTTAACCCTGTAATGCCAAATGTATCATATTTGATACATACGGTTTCTGAAATGTTTTGCGACTGACACCTTTTACATGATTTAATGGTAAAAACTTTGCTCAAAATCCTATTATACACAATCAGATATACCTGATAACAGAGGGCAGAATACTACACAAAAAAAAACCTGAACCAACCCAAAAGAAAAAAATAATAAAAACAAAAAAGGTATTCCGGTTTTTCCTTTTAAAAAATTTGGTAAAAAGCCAAAAAAAGAACTCAAAAAAAAAAAAAAAAAATTTCTGTTTTGTTTTATTCTTGGATCGGGCTTTAAAAGGTTAAAGGAAGCCCAAGTACCATCCATGAGACTTCGGTCTTTAGACTAGCTGTAAAACCATAAAAAGGCTGGGTGATATTTTTGGCCAGTATTGGCATATTTTTCTTGTATCTGCATCAAACCATACATGCATGCGTTCAGATGTATCATGTAATTAGAGGAATAAACAACAATATTGGCTTTATAAATTAGCTCGGAGAAAAAGCTAGTAAATATTAGGGATAGGTTAGGCTGGTTTGAGCATAATCAGTATCGGCCTAAAAAAACTGTATCGCTTCATCTCTATTCAAAGCATAACTCAAACAAAGGTCTTCCATTTACACACATTAACAGTTTTATTTAAGGATTACAAGAGTCTAACTAGGACAGTGTTGAAATTCTACGTAGATAACTTCGTCTCATGTTGACTCCAGTCCGTTACTGGGTTCCATACATTGTACCTATTGAAGTCTGGATAAGGGGGAAAAAAAAGAAAGTAGCAAGATGTTAACATTGCATTAATCTTAATCATTGACACTAAAATACCTGTATCTAATCTGTGGTTGTAAAGAATTAACAGGATGTTAAAATTGCTGTTTTTTCAAATATCTATTACTGTAAAAATGTCCATAGCTATATATTGGTTATTTATTCTCCAGATGCACAGTTTTTATATTGTTGAAACACTTTACAGTACAGTATTTTATTGTTTATCATTTAACTCTTTACTATTATGTTATTCTTATACATTTTGCTAAGGTCCATATTTGTGTGACTATACACCAGAATTTCCCCATTATGGGACAGTAAGGGATTTTCTATTCTATTCTACCTACAAAAATCACATTAAACACACTATATATTAAGTTTAGGGATGTAGGGATGCTGACTGTAAATGGGGTTTCAAAAGAAAATTACAACTTAGTTGCTAACACAGGACTCCAGGGAGCTAATCCGGAACTTAAGGGGAGTTAACCAGTACTTACCGGGGAACACTCAGCCCAGCCTTAGTATGGGACTACTGCATAGTTACAAAGGAAATAAAGAGTAAATAACCAGCAACTAATGTGTAGTTACCAAGGAAACAAAGGGTAACTAATTAGGAACTTAAGGGGTAGTTACCAAGGAATCCAAAGAGCACTTAATAAGGAACTTGTTCTCGTTAATAGAGCACTTAAGAGAAAAACAGAGTAGAAATTCTCCATGTTAGTCCTGAATAAACTCTGCAAATGTGAGGTGACAGTTTACTAGAAATATGTTTTCTGTCAATAACTAATATATTTGGTTCTCTCTTTTGTATACATTTTGATGAAAGATATGATCAATTTTATGTTTGTTTTACTGCCATCATCTTAACACTATCACTAACTCAGTACTACATTTTTGCCTTTTGTATTATGGACTTCATGAAGTCAGGTATCATACCAAGTAGTTACTAAAGTTCTAATCATTGGGGAGTGGCGGCCTAGTGGTTTGCCTCTAGAGTTTGAAACCCACTCCCACAGACTCTGGCTTTCTGAGCAAGACCATTAACCCCCCTTGCTCCCTGGGCAATGGCGTAAATATCGGTAAGCAGAAACAGCAGGTACTTACGGGCCCACAACCTCTTAGGGGCCCCCATCACTGACACCTGGTCGGTCCCCTACGCAAATGTAAAATAGGACGTCTCTTTGCAGATGTAATGGTGCAAAAAAATCCTCTTAAGCCCACCTTATCCTGAAGTGACTGACCGCACCGGATCGTATTTATACCTCAACACATGCCAGATTCCAACATAATGGTGAGCCGTTTAAACACGACACCAATAGCAAAGCAGAGAGTGGTACTTTTAACTATTATGTTAATAACTGTGTATAGTTCATTAGACGGTTGGTAAAAAAATACTCATATAATATGCTTCAAAATGCAATAAAGATCTTAAAAGAACGATGTATTTGAGAATTTTATTTTAACACTACGACTTGAAATTATGGGTAACCCAGAGCGTAGATCAGTACCATATCCGTTACATACAATTTGTTAGTGACGATGGATAACAAAAAGAGGTACCAGAAAAGAAAAAGGAAAGAAGAGCTGCTGGAAGTACGGAAAAAAAACTCCCTAGATTAAACACGTTCTTTCAAAGAATCGCAGAGGAAGAGGTGGACGTTGCTGCTATAGTGAGTAAAGATTGTGACCAGGAGATGAATGGAGAGAGTGTGGTTTAGGAGGGGGGCTGTGTAGCTCAAGCTAGCCAGATGGCTTGTTTTGGTAAACATGTGGTGGTCACCGATGGTTCCATTCAAGGTGCTCAGTCACTATTTTTCCATGTGTGATGTGTGATCATATACTACTGAGAATTGCATAATTGTATCTTTTTTGGCCGATTTATGGAACTGTCAACGTATCCTGAACCTTTATCACGTACTTCATATGGGGCCCACCCAGATAATGTTGCTTACGGGTTTATTGTTGTGTCGTTATGCCATTGTCCCTGGGCAGTGCACAGTGGCAGCCCACAGTGGGTTAGCTTCTGATTAGTCACTATTTGTTTTCTTGGTAAGTACACATTAGTTCCTTATTTATTACTCTGTGTTTTTCAGCTAACTAAGCAGTAGTCACATAATAAAACTGGACTGTTCCCCGGTAAGTACTTTTTACCTATGCCTGTGTAAATTCTAGGTTAACTACCCATTAGTTCCTAATTAGTTTCCCAGGTATTCTGTAGTAGTTCATCAAAGTGTTAGCCATTTTGTTGAGTTAATAGAAGCTATTTTCAAAACTTTCTAATAGAAAAATTGTTTATGTAAAATTTTTCTTTACTTAAAATCCATCTAGTAATCAATGACATGATGTTACCCAGTGTATACTGTACACTTCACATGGCATGGCACATTGCTTTGATCTGTGCATCTGAAGTTTAACATGGTTAAGCACTAATATAGATTGGGTACTTCATTAGGAAATCTATACCTCTTCTTTTTTTTGTTAATTACAGGCTTCAATTTGTTGAAGCACATTAGTGAACAATGATGCTACTTACTGATTCAGTTTCAGGTTCTTCAACCAGATACGTTACTTTCTGTTTGCTGTAAAGGTGTCTTTTCTTCATGCAGGTTAACATAAACCAGTCTGCAACAATGGGAACCTAAAACGCAATATAATACATAAAAAAAATGCTCTTTATTGTATGCTTTTGGGAGCAATAGCATACACGTCTACTCACCAAACTCAGAAAAGAAAGAGCTGCACCCAAGTTCACTATTGTTGGTACAATTCCAAATTTTCCTGCCTGCAAGAATCAACATCCATGTAAATCAGCGAACTGTAAACACACATTGTGTTTTCAATTATGATAAACTGGAGGCCTCACAGTTCCAAATACAATGACGTCAAAACGGATCCCATAGGCTTTGATTAATGTTCTGGTTTCTTCTCCATTTGGTGATTTGTAGTACTTTGCATATCTAAAGAAAGAGGCTTTATTAGTATTTTATCCATCTTTATTATTTCCTAAAAAGAGTTTGTAAAACTAGATTACCTGAAGTTATACCCAGGGGCTACATTATTAACTGGGTTTTTGTTGTCCAGCCTGCGGAAGGTGTATTTGGGGTAACATTTCCCTGCCCACCAGTCCAGGTCACAGCTCCAGTCAATAATAATACCAAAGACACCCCCCTTTGAAACACGCACGGCAGCAAGTTAAAAAAAACTGCATTTAATAGTTATATACCAATAGTGCATGTTCACAATCCTTGAATCTTCTCACATTTGGTAACAGTAAAACAAATAAGCTTCAATGTCAAATATTTTACAACACAACAAGACAAAGTGTGTATAATTGTAAACAGAAAGCAAAGTTATAGAGTTTTTTCTTACCTATGAAAACCTCTGAAAAATGTACATTTCATTATGCATTACATCATGCCTACTTGTGAATTAAAAGCAAAATTCCAAAATTGATTGATTGAAAATTCTAAAAACTTTATTTACAGTCTTCCAGAACCAATTCCTTTTCATTTAACCTATTGTAGCAATAACAGCTGGACTTGTTGGCATATAGCATATTTAGATTTTTGCCCATTTATGTTTGAAAAATAGCTTAAGCTAAGCGACACTGGATGGAGGGGATGTAAAAAATGTTGTATGAATAAATCATTGTTTGATGTCAACCATTGTAGTGTACCGTAGCTCTGGATGCATGTTCAAAATTCCTCTGGAAGCTGAATCTCCACAGCAGTCTCAGGTCTTTTGCAATGTCCTGTATTTCACTAATCTCTCTCTAACATCGACTGGCTTTACTTTTCAAAATAGAACAAGTGTCACTCTTTTTTTTTTTTTTTTTGAATGGAGCCCCCTTTTAAATGCGTTTGCTATATTTGCTACATTTGTTTTTTCCAAGCTGTCCATACGATTGCAATTATACCAGATTCTAACCTGTCCGATGTAATCCTTGGTCCTTACCATGTAACAAACCGAGCATTTCATGCAAACAGGTAGACTGTTTAATAATCTGGTGATTTCTGAAGACCTTTGAGCTGCATTTCATTTAGATGCATTAGAGTAAATGAGGGACAATTTAAAAGTATGCTTAACTCTTCAGACTTTTATTTGCTAAAACACACATTCCTTTTTCCTTTGTGTCACACATATGCCATATTTTGTGTTGGTCTATTCTTTCTAATGAATTTCCATCTCTATCTGTTGAAGTTTGATATTGTAAAGTGACAAAATGTAAAAACAAACCCAACAGGAATGAATGAATGCAAGTTAGCCTAATGTCAACATTTCTTTTTACCTTTACAGCCATGTCCTGAAAATCCTCTCCGGCCTCTGCAAGAATGTGCCTGAGGCGGAATATGGGGCAGTCAGGGTCTGTTTCACGACTGAACTCACATGTCTTCAAGTACGAAGAGTTAATGTGGGGAAGTATGTTTCTCCTGGAGAAGGGAAGAAACTCATTTATAATATCACTCTCAATTAAGCTGGCTGCTTACTCTCTGTTTTTTTTTTTTTACATAAAGAGGCAGTATACTGACATGTGAAAGTTGAACTTTGGGTATGTAACGCTGTTTTTGATCAACACAGTGAAGTTTTCAGCTGCAGCCAGGAGTGCACGCCTGTCAGGCAGTAAAGACAGCATGTCAAGCCTAATCTAAATACTATAAGTCCTTCAAATACTGCATCTTTGCTTTTTTTCTTACTTAGGTAGGTTAGTGTCTATTTCAAGAGGACACCATGAGAGGACTTCACAGGTCTTGACAGTAGAGGAATAGTTTTCGCACAGCCCTGTCCGAATGCCTGAGGGGGACAAATTATCATGTTGTACCATTTAAAGCTGCTGTATGAAGGCAGATTTTGGACAAAGACTTACCATTGCCTCGAGGATCATTGTATCCCTCGATGCAGTCACAGTCATCTGCACAGATAGTTGAAGGGTTTGGAAGCTGGAAGAGAAATCTGTAAGGTTAATGCTTAAGAGGTTTTTAGACACTGCTTTTTACATTAACACAAATAACTTTCTTTATCCATTTTCATTCCTTTAACCAGGGGAACAAAAGTAGTTAAACTTCAAGTTTTGACATTAAGCACTGACTTTTTGTTGAATTCTCAGGTCAGCAGAAAGTTCAGGAAAAT